AAAAAGATCTCAGGACACCAAATCTCCTTCCCACCAGTATGTATTTGAGTTATTATGAACATTTGTCAATTGTACCATCTTTTTAAATAAAACTGGAATCTTGTTTCAAAAAAAAAAAAAAGAAACTACCATTTCAGATTAAAAGCTGGCTTTCAGCTAAGCCAAGAAGGTAGAGAATATTCTCAGAAAATGTCTGAGAAGCCCAGCAGCTAATTTACAGACTGACAAGTTTTCATACAATTTATCCAGAATAGAATCTGGTCAAACTGCCTGGATGCATATGATGGCTCTGCCATTTACCAACAAGTAACTTAACCTCACTTTTGTCTATCAGGCAAGCGAGTGGGGATGGGGTGATGAGCCCCACCTCACAGTTTTACTAAAACTAAATGAATTGATAATTGTATGCTTAGAGGGGCTGGAGAAACAGCTCAGAGGTTAAGAGCACTTGCAGAGGACCCAGGTGCAGTTCCCAGCACCCACATCCAGAGCATAACTCCAGGAACAGTGGATACAGCACCCTCTTCTGGGCTCCAGAGGGACTAGCACACAAGGCACACATACATACATTCAAAGCACACACACATACAAAACAAAGTAAGATACAATGAATCTTCATTTATAGGTCCAATTGAAAAGCCAAGTAAATGAAAGAGGAGACAGGGAAAGGTTGAGAGAGAAACAAGGGAAGAAAGGACCTACAGAGAATGATACATGCCAACAGGCAGAAATGAAAGGGAGGCATGCCAGTCCCAGGCTCAGGACAGGGAGCGTGGACATGAAAGGAAGGGCAGCAAAGTTATTCTGTCCAGAGCCCAATGTAGGCTGTAAGGTGAAGGGTCGGCAAGCTCCTGAGGGTCAGCAAGCTCCTGAGAGACCAGCAGCCTGCATTTGGAAACCTTCCACTAGTAACACAGCAGCCTAAGGAGGCCCAGAAATGCTGGGAATGGAACAAATTTCTTACAAAAAAAATCAGATATACAGTTTGTCCTCTCCATCTTGGGGGAAAATGGCAGTTAAACTAAGAGAAATCATAGTGCTCAAATGAACCTTCTAAAGCATTTCATTTTCTGTTTTATGAGATAAATGTACTTGGAATCATTTATCATGCTAACCAAAGGCACTTTTCTCATTCTGGACAAAAATATGCAAAGACCATTGTAATTCCAACAAGCTGAAGTTTAGCAATCTCTCAATCTAATAACCTTCTTAACAAAATTGCATTTAGCTTAATAATGAATAAAATTCCATATCCATTTCTATGCAAAAAGCTTTTCAGAGCAATTTCATCATTGTACATGTAAAGAAATGTCATATAAATTCAGTTTTCTGTATCTTCATAATCCCTAAGGCTACAGGATCATGCTAGGAAAGGAGTTGGTGCTGTTTCCTGAAAACAAGAGGAAGGTAGGAAGATGTGGACCAGAGCCCCTGAGGTGAAAGAATTGACATCTCTCCAGGAGCTCCCACCTTAAACACACAGGTTCGAGAATGCAAAGATGGGCCCCGCCCCTTTTCCCCCGCCTACAAAGATGAGCCCGCTCCTTTATCCGAACTGCAAAGATGAGCTCTGCCCTTCATCCCACCTTCACAAAATAACCACTCACATTAGAAGAACAAAAAGAATTCACAGCATATTTTCTTGTGTAATTAAAGGCTGGCAGGGAAGGGGACATCATTTACTTTGTTATGTTGAGGGCTCAAAATTCTGTAACAAAAGACAAAGTAACGAGAAAATACACACTTTTATTTAGAAGTTTTATGTTCCTTGGGACCCTTCATAAGAACTTATAAGGGGACCATGCTCTTTTCAACTCCCCCCAAAACCAGGTAAACCTGTGTGATTTTTTTAAGGTGGGTTTAAGTAGATAGTAGTAGAGGTTTAAGTATTGAAAGGAACCATTTTATCAAAATTTTGATCTGATAATGTCAGGCTGAGAGAACTTAGCAAGGCCTTACTGTGTCCCTGTGCCTTCAGAGAAAACGCCATTCCTTTCCTTCAGGGGTAAGGAAGACAAAATCTCAAATGTAAGCCAGACAACCTGCTTTCTGGGATGGTTAAAAAATTCTTCTTACGTTTATAAACTTCTTTAAAGGAAGGGCAGGAGGTCAGAGAGTGACTGGTCACTTCTCCTCAAGTTTGGTCCTTAGTTTAAAATGCCTTTGGATATGGAAATATGATTCATTGGTTAAGAGCACTGGCTGCTCTTCAGGAGGACCCAGGTACAGTTCCCAGCACCCGCATGGTGCCTCACAACCATATGTGACTCCAGTTCCAGGGGAGAGGATGCTTTCTTCTGGCCTCCGTGCATACCAGGCACACACATGGTGTAGAGACATACATGCAGGCAAAACACCCATATACGTAAAATAAAAATAATCATTAAAATAAATAAATAAAAGGTTTTAGGGTATGGACTGAAGAGATAGCTCAGTGGGTAAAGCACTTGCCCCATGAGCATGAGACTGTGAGTTCAGATCCCCAGCATTCATGTGGAAAGCCAGCATAATAGTGCACACCAGCAACCCCAGTGTTGGCTGGGCAGGGTAGGTGGGTCCCTGAAGAGCTCTTGTTAACCAACCTAGCCAAATCAGTGAAGTCAATGTTAAAGCAGAGAATCAACTAAAGAATATGTGTAGGCTTAGAAGATATTAGGCTGTAGGCCCTTGTCTTATAATCCACAACCTGTACAAACAAAGACTTGAACTCCAGGATTCTAATTATTGTTAGAGGAAGGAGACCTCAGTCATCTCTAGCCCTGGGAGGAGATATGACATCCTGAATTTCCCTGAAGGTCATGGATAACTACCTAACCTGGCTTCATAAGCCCTAAACCTTATAAGGTCACTGTGGGAACTGTGCAGCGGAATCCCGGAGTGGAGTGGGCCTTTCCACACAAACAAGGGAAAGTCTGGAGTTCCTAGGGCTGGAAGCTTTGGCAGCAGCAGGCCCCAATGATAAGAGAAATCCGTGGGTTCCAAGAGTTTTATTGTTCATGGTCTAAACCCCCCAGTAAAAGCTAGGGGAGAGCTGGCTTAAATAGGAGAGGGAGAAGAGGAGGGGCTGGGAAAAGGAATAACTTAATTTAGCTACGCCCCTTCACCCCCACCTTTAGGTAACTCATGAATATGGAAATCTCTCAAGGCTGAAGTCTGCAGTCCTGTCCTCTCTAGCCAAAAGTGAAAGGCAAGGTGCAGATCAAATAAGATCACGCCACGTGTCAGGAGCCTGGATTCTGGGAGCACGGAATAGATGCTCGTCCCTCACAGGCAATGGACACCTGTTGGGTCTCCGGGCTATTTCCAGCCAGCACTTCTACCAAAACCATCCATCCTATCACAGTCCTACAGGTCACTATTTAGCACAGTATCTCATGAAGAGCCATTGACTCTACCTAACAGAGTCAATCACTCAGGCAGGGAAATGCCCCTCAAGAAGTTGGCTGGTGCAGACACCTTAGTAAACCTGCCTGGCATGTAGACAGGCCGGTCGCCCGCCCCTCTGGCCACTGCCCACTCTGCTCTCCAGAGTGCTTCATTTACTCTGCAACAAGCCGTATCTACCTGTGTGTCTTCCTTGGCTTCTTTCAAAGGGGTCAGGGAACTAAGGGGAGACCAGAGGGAGACCCCAACAATGATGCTGTTGGTCTTCGGAAGCCTGATCCTGAAGAATTCCTTTAAAATAAAATCTAGAAACTATGGATAGAATTCAGTGATGGAAATATACTTGGAATGGCCAAGGCCCTATATTCAACTCCCGATGCCAAAAAAGTAATGCAATTAATATGAAGAAATAAAATACTAGAAAATGTCTACATTCTGACTACATACACACTACCATAAGTGCAGTGCAGTGCATAATCCTTAACAGCTGGCACTGTGGCACTCACACACAATGTCAGCAGTTGGGAAGCTAAGACAGGAGGACTGCTTCAAGCTCAAGGCTAGCCCAGGTTACAGAGTAACAGATGGGGCTACAGAACAAAAACTTTTCTCAAAACAATAACATAAACAAAATCATCTGCTTCAATGCATAAATAAATGAAAATCTCCCATGATTATTAAAATATCTGGATTTCTTCTAAGCACACAGGAAAACTACAAGCAAGAGCAACCGTACAATATTCACACAACAGATTAAAAGTAAGTTTAACAACTGGTGATATTCTCCCTCCATTTTCTGTTTTTTTCGTATGGTTTTAATGGACTTTTCTGACTATAAATACTCGTAATTCATCTGGAGTAAGGCAGTACAGGGGCAGCGGCCTGTGCTAAGTGACCAGTGAGCATGGCCAGGCTCCTGCTCCCATGAAAGCTGGTGAGATCTCACATTCCTCGGGACACAATGCAGCTTTCATCGATACTGGAAAGTATTTTTCTGAGAATATTTGCAGCACATGGATGGAATTCTTGTTGCAAGCCCCCACTGAATTATTTAAAAGAACAATGACTGAATGACTAATTAGAAACGTTCTGGTGATATTTATATTACAAAGGAAAAGACTTAGGCCTAGCATTTTCTCTCGAGTGCTCAGTCAGAAAAACTACAGTCAGTGTGTTGACTGTGGGCATGGATTCTGAACTGATCTACTCTCACAGCCTTGCAAGCTGCCTCCCCTTCGGCCAGCTGATGTTTTACATCCTATTTGGCTCTCTGTAATAGAGACGGCAGTTCCCACGGGCCTCTCAGTAGAAACACGGTGACTGTCTCTCATTCTTTCAATACTTATCATGGGATGATTACTTGTTGAATCTCCTAAGCAAAGGGATCACTTGGACTTACACCTCACACTTGAATCCAGTCTAGTATTTTCCCTAGAAAGCTCCAGAATCAGGAGTCTTCTCAAGAGAAGCTCCCAGGCTTTTAGAGACTGCTTACACAACCAACGCCAAAGCAGTGAGGTTCTAACAGCTTCCCAAATAGGAAGACACCAGATCTCCATGAGAGCCACTGCAAAACCACTCACGAGGTTTCCTGAGTGTGACACTGTGTGTCTTACCTGCTATCTCCAGGAGTGCATTGACGTGATCTCCGTCTGCCAGCTTCACAAAGCCAACCTGACCGTGGAAAGTGTCAATCCCATGGAAGGGCAAAGTCAAGCGCCTCCCTTCAAGGATCTCCTCAACAAATGGCTTCAATTCCAAAAGCGCATTGGTACCACTAGTGACAGACGACATTTCAGCAACACGATAAAAAAAAAAATAGAAAAAAATAATAAATAGGGAAGAAATCCAGTTTTTTGAAGATAAATTGTTATAATAAATATTTTAAAGTTCAAAATATAGTTTAGATCTAACCTATGGTTTAAAATCAATATTAACCTTTAGACAACTATAGAAGTGACTTAAGTCTTGTCCTAGTTATAATTACTACTAAAGATGTAAACACAGATAGTATTTCATTATTCATTAAGAAACTTCTAAGTCAGATGTGGTAGTACATACCTGTAAACACTGCACTCTGGAAGCTGAGGCAGGAGGATTGTAAATTTGAGTTTGAGGCCAACTGGGACCACAGTAGTAGATTACAATAAGACCTTGACTCAAAATTTAAAACAACAACAACAACCAGAATAAATTGCTAGCCAAGAAAAAAATTACCAGAATAATTCAAAGTGCTGTGTACATAGCTCAGATGTAGAGCTCCTGATTACTGTGCTCGAGGTCCTACCGAGATTCAATCCCCAGTACCCTCCAGGGGAGAGAAAGAACTACACTTTTACTAATTTTTTACTAATAATATATTCCAAACCAACCTACCACACACAAGAACTTTGTTAGATTATGAGGAATGTTCTAAACTTCTGTTTGCTTTTGTTTCCAGGGGTGGGCAGGTTCTCATGAGGCAAAGGATGGCTCTGAACTTGTGGTCACCCTGTCATCACTTCCCAGATGTTAGGGTGACAGGCCTGCACCGTGCCCAGTATCAAAACCCAGGCTGTGTCTGACAGAACAGACAAGCAATCTACCAACTGAACCATGTCCCCAGCCCAAGTCCTAGATTAAAAAAAAAAAAAAAAAGACCAGTACTTACTACTTACCGTTTGCAAAGCATTCCGCTAAAATTGAAACACACATTCTCTCTCAAAATACAACACTCTTTGTGATACAATTTTTTATATCTGGATTCAAATAAAGTCTAAGTTTAACTATATTTTGCCAACTAGAAGTAAAGGCTTGCTATAGCTGTTTAGCCCATGTTCACTTACGGCCACTTTGAGTTTTGCTCTTTATAGTTCCAGTCAGATACTACCAAAGTTTGCACGGTCTTAACCATACTGTCAATCACTTCCATCTTGGAAAGAATTCTGGTAGGTGCACCTTATTATGAGAAAAAAGTAACTCTCACTAGAGGGCAGCAATTACTTAAAAAAGAAATGAGCGCAGGTGGTTTGGAGAGGATTTTCAAACTCTCTTCTAACAAACTCATCATTGAATCTTCCTGTTCAGCAGACAAACATGTGAAATACAGACATTTGTAGTGTTTTCGTATTTCTAAATTAATCTTCACACCTGAGCTCTGAAGGAGCCCATTCCTGCACTTCAGCCATGCTGGAGACAACTCAATGCTGCAGAACTGCTTGTAGATGTCAGCCGTTCTCCCTGCTCCCCGACATCTACCTCCGGAGCCAGCTGTCCCTAACTGCATTCATGGCGGTGGGACACAGCCACACTCATAATCCAATGCTGTCCTTCACTGAGTTCTGTGAGGCAAAGCACATGATCTCAGAGTTCTCACATCCCTACAATAATTGAGGGAATGAATACAAGACATCTGGCCCCATGGAACTATAAACTACAAGCTAAGGCAGGCCATGAGAGAGAGACTAAGACTTTCCAGAAATAATGGATCTGCAGAATCCTTGCACAGGAAACGGTGGCCTAACAGTGCCAGCTCTCAGCTGTCTGCCTGTATAAAGCAGTTACCTAATGAGATGCTATTGGTCCAGTGTAAGAAGGGATTAGAGGGTGTCTTGGGAAGCATGACTATCAGATCCTTCTAAAAGTGGGATATCTTCTCAAGAGGATTTTGTAAAAGACTTCTTTATATTTAAATTTATTCTTTAACTTAAATAAGGATTTTTAAATTAAAAAAAAAAGAACATATCCATAACAAAACAGAATTCTGAAACTGAGTTCAGGCCAAAGTTTATATTCAAATTAAAGATAAGACAACTATCTTATCAATCAACAGCTGCTTTAGCCTAAACTATTTCTACTTCTTCCTTCTACGCTGTGAAGACACAAAAGGGCCTTTCATGATAGCTATCAAAACCAATTCATGATTTTAAAAAATGTCTGTTGGATATATTCAACATCCAATCTATTGACTAAACTCTAAAATAAGATGCTAGACATTTTTTTAAGATTTATTTATTCATTTTAAGTATGTGAGTATACTGTAGCTATTTTCAAACACACCAGAAGAGGGTATCAGATCCCATTACAGATGGCTGTGATCTACCATGTGGGTGCTGGGAATTGACCTCTGGAAGAGTGGTCAGTGTTCTTAACTGATGAGCCATCTCTCCAGCCCAAGATCCTAAACTTTGAGAATAAAAATGAATATGGACTAGGAGCTGATAATCCAGATACTTAACATACTATACAACATGGGATGAAAAAAATGTCAGACTTAGAGGTGCTTAAAAATCATTCACATTAAAAATTGTCTCCCTAAAAAAATGTCATCAATTTTGACACCCAGGCAGAAGCCACACCTTGAATCACACCATCTCTTAGAAGCTGACAGCTCTGCTCCTCCAGATGTGGGCAGGCTTCATGAAATCAGCTGATTAGAGAAAAGACTTGGGGCAGAAGGAATTCTATCCCCAGACTGCCTTTAAATTTAGCCCATAACACAAACTTTTCTGGCTCCCCAGCCTACCCAATCTTCCCAATAGATCTCAACTTACCAAAACTCACAACTATGTGAGGCAGTTCTATAAATGACTTCTACGTATGCAGCTATATCTACCTGGATAGACAGAGAATGGGTATCGGTGTTCTCGCAGCCCACTTGATCTGCTCTTAGAGAACCTTGACAATTGATAAGGCAGGACAACTATTGCTAGTGAGCAATCCATCACACATGGTGAGAGTCCTTCCAACTATTCTCACTCCGTGACATATCTTTGGCTTGTCTTCCTTGAGAAGCATCAAAGCATTTGTTTCTTCTGGTTGGGTATATTGATAAGCTGAAATAAATCAAGTAATACCTCTGCTTTTTTCTGCCCTTGAAGCTCATAAAGATCAGAAGACTGTTGGCTGCCACCCAAGGGTCTACTGCATCAAGATCTTAACCACAGTCATCATTATGTGGCCATTGTGAACTACTAATGCATTTTCTTTTCCTCTCTTATTCTATCTTTTCCTCACCCTCTTCCCAACTCAAGCCTTTTCTTCATTCCCTTGGGAGTCATATGGGCTGAGACAGAAACAGGAATAATCTTCTGTTCATCCTGGTTTTGGTTTTCCAAAGAGTCCAAGCAACTTGATACATCAAATGCCATAGGAGACAGCAAGAAATTCTCCACTCCAGTAATCAGTCAACCTTTATGGATGTGGAGCAGAGGCGTGGGATGGAATACCATGGCACAGAAAATGACTGGGGCAAACTGAACCAGAAATTGTCCACCCCACCCCAGGAAAGTAACAGCTCTGATGACAAACAGCTACGAGTAAGTGCCTATGGGGCCACATGCTAAAGCTCTTGCCTGTATTGACACTATTTACTGCAACAGCAGGCGTAAGCCAGGCTGCTAAGAAAGGGCTGCTCTATCAGAGACCCTGAATCAATCTTCACCTAGAGTCTCTGCTTCAACTCTAGCATCAGAAACCAAAGTGTTCAAGATAATGAACGTAGGCACTAAATCTGTGTAGCCAAGGAATACTACTGACAACATTAAGAGTATTGAACTAGAGTGTACTGGAACATGTCTTAACCTCAGGAGTCAGTCAACTGAGGCCAGAAGATCAAGGTCCAGAGCCACACTTGACACACAAGTTTGAGGCTAGTCTATGTTATATAAAATAAAAAATAAAAAGCCCTGTGTCCACTGACTAGCAGTCACAATAGTCGGGATGAAGACGACATCATTAAGTCTCCACCCCTCCTTGGGCTCGCTATGCTTGCTCACAGTGGAGGAATTCTGTAGGAAGGAATATGCAGGAAAGACGATACTCACGTGTTTACCTCATCTTCGTTCAACAACTGCATCACTAGCAAGGTAATATGAAAGGAGCCATCGCCAACCATGGCTTTGGTCAGTCGCTTATCTTGTCGTAGTATTGAATTTTGCAAGACCTTAATTCCAGCTGTAATCTAATCACACGTACAAAAAAAAGAAGAGTTGAGAAAAAATGTTAAGGAAAAATTCAAATCAGTAAGAAAAATAAGCAACGAACGACCAAAATTAAAGTGAAGTTGAGAAAAGAAAAGAACAAAAAAAAGTTTTAAAAATTAATAAATAAAGTGAAGTCGAGATTTCACAACTAAATAAACATGCAATTGTTTAGTTGTTCCCACACTTGCTAGAGAGTTAACTTGGACACTTGGTATGATATATAAATGTAGAAAAGCAGAAATGCATGTCTGTCTTGCAAGCATTGAGCACAACGCTCTTTCTTTGCAGACTGAGTCACTAACTGAGTGGGAAAACTCCCTGTGGCCACACATTCTTTTAGAAATGTGTCCTTGTAATGTGGATCTGACTCACTAATTATGAACATTCCTAAGAGAAAAGCTTTATTCTTCCACAGAAAGGTCAAATCAGCAGACAACATTCCATTTCTGTTAGAAGTAATATTTATTTGTCCCACAATGAATGTGTTGGACCTATTCCTTGCTGCCTTTAAGGTTCTCTAGGATAGGAGGAATTCCAATAAGGATGATTGCTGCCATGTTTTCCTAACTTGTGAGGGTGGGGCATAACCATGGAGACAGAGCTGAAGGTGTCCAAAGTCCAATACGATGCATTCAGGAAAAAGCCCACAGGTCAGCTGCTGTCTTCCCTCTCAGTACCTGCTCTTCTAGAACAGGGAGAGGAGGGATGGTGTATCTCCCTCCTCCATTTCCTGTTAGAGCCATAGATTCTAGTCAACCTGTAAACAGCAGACCAGTAGAGAGTAATCTGAAATAAAACAGCAAGCCCTGAGAAAGGCTGCAGAGAATTCATAAAAGCCTCGGGACAACAGAATTACTGAGAGAAGAGGAAAGGCTGTGCTGGCAATAAAAGCAGCATCCAGTGAAACAAAACAGACACGACAGGGATAAGGAGAGAGAGAATCATAAGCTTAGCGGGCTGTTCTGATTCTGGAGTGTCTGTGTTATCCTGAACAATGGCTGCATTATCCATCCATGGAATGTACTGAGCAAATCAGAAGACACCGTCCTGGGTCCTAGACTTTCTCCTTGAACCAGCTTCCAAGTCCACCCGCTGTGAGTAAGAAGCTGGTGGGATCACTTTGGAGAAAATCTCCCATCCCTGGTACCCAGACCATCTTCCCTGTGGCCTGCCTTCATCTGTGGCTCTGCCAAAGCTGCATGTTTCCTCTTAGCCATGAGATTCACCCATGGACCTTACCACCGTCCCTTGTTACAAAGCCCCACTATGTTTCTGTGGTCAGAATAAAGTCTGTCTTGCTCAGTAAGGCCATTCCCTACCTCCTGTATCTCACCCCTACCTCCATGAACCCTGGTAAAGTGAAAACAATCTGACCTTAAAATTGTCCAAGCAGGGGGCTGGAGATGTGGCTCAGCAGTTAAGAGCACTGGTTGCTCTCCCAGAGGACCCAGGTTCGGTTCCCACCACCCCTGCAGCAGCTCAGAACTGTCTGCAACTGCAGTTCCAGGGAAGCTGACACCCTCACACTGACACACATGCAAGCAAAACACCAGAGTATATAAATAATTTTTTTTAAATTGTCCAAGGAGATTAAAAATAGCCACAACTTTGGTCAAATAGAAAAGACATCAAAAAAATTTGACTGGAGTTGTTTCTAGTCACTGCTGGTTTTGTTAGACAGAAATATAAATTGACCTCAGACAAGTGTAAGTATCCACCTATCATACAGTGATTACAGGACCAGGGTGTTACAACAAGGTAAACCATAACAGGCAATTTTGTAAGTACAACCAATTTATTTGACTCCCACCTTTTGCCTATAAATACCTGCCCACAACAGCAGGAAACTGGAAAGCTAAACCTCCTTTAAGTCTACTCTCCCCAATTCATGAACTGCTCCGTACTCTAACTTAGATTGTCCTCTATACAGCATTTCTCAACCTGTGATTCACAACCCCTTTTGGGGTGGAACGACCCTTTCACAGGGGTCACCTAAGACCATCTGCAAATCAGGTGTCTACATTATGGTTCATAACAGTAGCAAAACTAAAGTTATGAAGTAACAAGAAAAACAATTCTATGGCTGGGAGTCACCAGAACATGAGGAACTACATTGAAAGGATGCAGCATTAGGAAGGCCGAGGACCACTGGGTTAAGAGTTTAGTGGCAAAACTGGCACCCAAAGCAGACCCCAGTGACCTTCAGGAACACTAAGGAGCCAAAACCAAAGGACCATTATGGCTCCAGCAGATAGAATACGCCTGGACAAAACACTGACCAGATCTTTAAAGGCTGTTTCAGAGACCTGACAAACAGCTGAAAGGCCTGTCCAAACTATTTCCATTATCTGCCCACAGAAGACAGAATGGTCTACCACTCGGACATAGAAGCAGGGAAACAAACAGACGAGAAGGAATTTCCTCCTTACCTAGAAGAGGAAAGCCAATCCAAGGGTTCCCTAAAACAGCAACTAAGAGATTATAAAGAGGTTTCTCTGGATTTGGGGGATATTGCAGATCTTGGTTCAAATTTCTCCCTGAAAGTCCGTACTTTATATGAACTTACAAAAATTGTGCCAGAACCTTCTCTATTGGGAGATATCCAGGAAGAAGATTTAGGTCAAACAGAGTTGGCTCCATGCACATCTTCAGCAGTTAGTGTAATGTTTTACATGTGAGATGGGTTTAGGCCATTTGTGCCTTTAGATTATCCATGAATTATAAAACTAAACTGAAACCCTGTAAAATGCTTTGAAGACTTATTATTTCCATGAAGCCACATAATGCTTGTACTATAGGATTAACCTCAAACCTATGAAAATTTAAAAGCTAATCTAATCAAGCAATAAGTTTCTAACTATGCTTTGATGCTTCCAATTAATTTATAGGTTCCCTGATATCATCTTAAAAGTTTTTAAATGCTTTTTACTCCTAATTACAATCTTTAAAAGACAAGAAAAACACTCCAGAATCTTAACTGTATATGATTAACAGAAACCAATTTTTACAGTCACTGTTTAAAATTCTACAAAACCATTAAACCTTATCCATCATCATAATCCCCTGCCACTGGTGCAACTGCACAAACCTAATACTAACGGTCAAACTTAAATATGGCATTAAAAGAAACTTCTACAAATAAAACTTTACTGAAATCTTAAATATTCTGCTTATTTGAGTTGATAGAAAAGCAGATGGCCAACTATTAAACATTACCACTAAGCCATAGTCCACATGCCTAAAATAATACAATTAGAAAAGTCATCTTTATACCTTTGAAGCATTCTAATTGACTCAATGATGTATAAGTGATTTTTTTAATGGTGAAAATTTAGCATGCCTCACCAAGAGAGACATAAGTTATATTCTAGTACACAGTAAAAGAATGCCTTTGACCTCACCTTGTAACACTGTATCATTGGGTTACTAGAAGAGTTACTATCCAGGAGTTTGGGTATAGCTTACTGGTAGTGTACTTATCTAGTACACAAGATGACCTAGGTTTGATTTCTAAGACAAGAAGGAAGCTGAGCAGTGGTGGCACACGTCTTTAATCCCAGCACTTGGGAGGCAGAGGCAGGCGGATTTCTGAGTTCGAGGCCAGCCTGGTCTACAGAGTGAGTTCCAGGACAGCCCGGGCTATAAGAGAAACCCTGTCTCAGAAAAAAAAAAAAAAAAAAAAAAAAGAAGGAAAAGTCCATGTGACACACCTGGTCCCAAGCTTTTCTTTGTAGCTAAATACTCTTGGGGGCTGGAGAGATGACTCAGGTTAACAGAACAGGCTGCTCCTCCAGAGGTCCTGAATCTGAATCCCAGAACCCACATGACAGCTCACAGCCACCAGCAACCCCAGTCCCAGGGAATTGGAGGCCCTCTTCTGGTCTCTAAGGGCACTGAACATGTATATGGTACACACATACATACAAGCAAAATGCCCAGAGAGACAGAGAGAGAGAGAGAGAGAGAGAGAGAGAGAGAG